AAACCGCATAGAATCTCGCGAAGGCAAGCTCGTAGCAAACTGAGAAGGCCCTTATTGTGTCTACGCGAAAATGGGGACTGGAGCATACTACTTAGAGAAATTACAAGGGGAACAACTCATTCGATCATGGAACACTGAAAAGCTAAAATAATATTACAGTTAAAAACACTGATTAGTCGGCGAGTTTGCTCAACGAGACAAACCCACTCACGCCCGACCACACGTGCATGCCTAGGCACAAGCATAGCACCCAAAGAATTCAGAAGGGGCAAGGCTCCGCTCTAGTGACGAGCGCACCCTCAGTCCGATATGGATAACATGACTGGGCTTCATAGTCCTTGTGCCACGACGGTAGAACACCCGACTTGCAACGGGAGGTTCACGCAGCCAAACCTAGGTCCCTCGAAACGAAACCTGAGTTCCGGCCCTCGCCCGATATTCACCCTGGATGTTTGATCAATTTCCCCACACTGACGAACATATAAAACAAGCACATCCCCACTATAAACTCTTAGCAAAATATAAAACGTCCTAAACGGGCTAGTTTGTCAACAAACATGTAAAAATCACAAGTTAAATATTGAAAGCAAACGACCATTGGCCGGAATTTAATAAAATGACCACTTCAGCCGATAATGTGAAAATATTACATAAACGAGCAGAATCCCAGAAAAAAATACAACAAATGCGGCACGCAGGCCGAAATAAACAAAATCATCCTTCTGCTTCCCCTTCAACAATGGGCGACAGTTGGGCAGGATCTCCGGTCGATTGAGAGACAATATCCCTGAGATAATCAGGGACTAGAATTTGGCTTCCAACCACATAAAAGTTGACCCTCATACCCGAGGTGTTGAGCTCGACGCCAGGGTTTAACACACGTATCTGATTCACAGCATTCTCGAAGCTCCCCTCGGAAGCAGCTTGAGCGTCATCCACAACCAATTAGAAACTAGCAACTAATTCCGCCCGAGTATTCAGGTCCTTAGTATCCTCCGGCTCATCCTCAGCGGGCATGATCTCAGCAATCAGGGCCACTACCTTTCCCTCAAGACCCTCTCTCTCGAGTAACAGAACCCTGCGTTCCTCGGAGAGCTTCCCCAATTCTTCCTCAAACAACTCCAGGGCTTTGTCCTTCTCAACCAAGTCCTTCTCGCTCGCAGCCAGCTTAGCCCGAAGATTCTTTATTTCAGCCTCATGGGATGAACTCCCCTCAGTGTAAACAACCACCATCTCTAGAATCCGCATCAAGCTGCCCGCGTCCTGCACCAGCATCACCCTCTTCTCCAGAAAACCCATTCCATCGAGGAGGAGAGATTCGGCCCGGAGAAGACAGAGAGTCGCGCCCTTAAGAAAGGACTTCTCCAGCCAGCAAAGAGGCAGGTCGTACGTCCCTTTCCCCGTTTCCCCGGTCAGGTCGACACTTCTATCAGCTCGTGGTCTCTCCGCCTTTGAAGAAACGACAGCGAGAGAGAGAGAGCAACTATGGTCGGAACTGAGGATGATCCGCCCGACCCCGAGGCAGGAGCTGGCCCCACACCAGCCTGCACATCCTTCAAAGCCCTACTCGCTCGGGCAACAAGAGTCTTGGCCAAACGCTCTTGGGCAGGATTCATGCTCTCTGCAAAACAAACAAAAAAAGAGCAGTCAGTAAAGCGAGGAGTCAACAAACGACGATCACTTACTCCTATTAGAAATATATATACCCAAGTATCTAACGGGGGTTCTCGCTTCAGAGGAGCTCCTTAACGTTTATGAGGCTCGGGTCGTATACCAGCTCCCCGTTCTTATCTAACACAGGCCTACCCCTGACCAACTCGTTGAACCCGAGGGATTTGAGCCACGAACATGGTCAGAGAAGCAAAACTCTCCAGATCCTCGTCTCTGAGCTCCCCCTCTCTCCAAACATAGGAGCCCAATTCCCTGTCAAAATGCTTTCGCGTCCATTGGAACGAAAATTTATAAATCAGCTTCGCAGTAGGCTTCCCTAGCTCGTTTAGACGGGGAGTCCCATCCTCGTTGAGCGATGGCGCAGTCCTAAAAACGTTTAACATCGCCTTTGTCGAGGAGGAATGCACCAAGATGTACTTGTATTTAAAGTGGAGGACAAACTCCAAATAGGCCTTGAATAACTTCCCATTGTCTTGCTTGAGGGAGACCTATCCCCACTTTCCGTCGACCTTACTCCTTTGAATGTGAAAGCAGTTGAAAAACAATGGAATCATGGCCCCTATCTTCAGATGGTTGTAGACTATCTCGAATGCTCGCACAAATACGATACCGTTCGAATGCAATTGAGAAGGAGCCACACGCAAATGCCGGAAAACAACCACCTCAAAGTCAGAGAAGGGGAGGCAAAAACCCATCTCTCGAAAGAAAATGTCATACGCCTCCTGTCATACTTCGAGCAGATCCTGCTCTCTTTCCCAGGAATATATAACGACCATTCCTCCGGGCCCCCCTCCTCGTGAGTATATACGTCCGTAAAGACATCCTCCCCGTGCTCGTAAAAATACGACGACCACTCCCAGGAGTCACTCACGACCCAATCCTGAGGATCCTCTTCGTCTCCAGGAGGAAACAAGCTGCCATGGTCCACGGAGGTCGCCCCCACTTCAGGCTTCCTCATTTGTTATCCCATCTGGTTCTGCACATCCCCGGAGATTTCCAAGATGCTTGACGAGCTACTTGTCTCATCCGAGGAACTCCCGGAAGACTGTAAATTCGCTCGAAATAATGACCCGATCAGTATCAACCATGGCACCTAAAAAGCAGAAGGAAAAGATGAGCTCGACATCAATGCCAGAACCACCCTTCCACCGCTAAACAAGCGAAAGGGCGCTAGGAAACGAGGATCACCTCCCCGACTAGAATCCTCACTGAGGGAAAACTAACGGGCAAGAATTGTAGAAAAATCCCTAAAACCTCATTGAGGCACACTAACGGGCATGAATTGTAGAAAAAGCCCTAAGCCTTAACGAAACCCTAAATCCTAACCGCATGTATCTCTATAAGGGAAAAGGAGAAATTACCAAAGCAAACAACAATAGAGGATCACAAACTTACCAGTAATAGAAGAAAAGATGAAAGTTAGCAGTTGCGAGCAGAGAAAGTCAACGAACTCTGGTGGTCGACTGCCGAGCTAATACAAGCAGTTGAGAGAGAATGCGAAAAATACTAAACGCCCTGTTCCTCTCGTATTTATAGCTGAGATAATCTGTGCGTGTAAGACACACACATGGGAACCCTAGGGTCGTCATCATTACACCCTAGCCCTAGGCCATCATTGTGCCGCTTCGCCAGCACGCTCCCTAAAATACGCTACCTCCCTAAATTCAAAGGTCCTAACGACCAACTCCTCGTCTCCCTGCAAGCAAGGTGTAACGGGAAACCCTCATTTCCCCGTAAGATACGCCCCATCCCGCGAACAGATGCAAAAGTCATCACTCCTGCACCCAGAAGCAACGACTTGAGGGGCTAATGTTTTGGACTGGCCTGACAACTAGAATGGGCCCAGTCTAAGACATTTCCTTTGGTACGGCCCGCACGACCATGACCTGGATTGCTCACTACCTGTCGGGCAATGTCAGCTGTTTGCCCTCCCGAACCAGCACTGACCCAGGATGATCGACGAGCATCCTCTCAGACTGCTTGACATTAACGTCGTGCAAGCCACCATGAATCAATCAGAGAGATGCCCGTAACTAACCCCTTCATCGGGACCAATGACTAGTTACGAGCACATCTGCCTGGTTTAACCAAGTCCTGACAGTTACCTGATTTCACGGACCCGCATATCCAGACGTGAAATCAGGAACCAATAGCTTCGCGCCAGGGGCATTATATATACCCCTACACCTGTGAGGGCTAGGTATCGAATATTCACCACTCACTACCTAATACTTTGCTTGTACCTTCTTGTTCCTGCACTTACTTGATCGTCAGAGAGTCTTGCAGGTACAACCCCCTTTTTTCTCCTCGACTTCATAGCCCGACTACAAATCATCTTCTGGCTACTTTACAAGTTCTGATCAACTGGTAAGATCACAAAAGAAAACGAAAATGAAAGTTGATGCAAACAGATTCGAAAGGTGATGACTTTACCATAATTAGTGAACAAATCCTTAAAACACCGAATGGATCTGCTAGGCTTTGATGGAAAAAGAGAAAGAGATAGAGAGAAAACGAAAGAATGGTGGATAGAAAGATGAAGAGAAACCAGAAAGGAGAAAGGAAGAAAGAAGAGAGGGAGACTGTGACAGGATAAAGAGAAAGAAAAAGGAGACGGAAGAGGAAAAGAAAGAGCAAATTTGAGTGGTTTTTTCCAATCACTTGATGATGTTTTGAAGAAGAAATAGAGAGTAAATGAGAAAGGTTATGGTTGAGTTGTTCAAGAATAAAGATTTACGACTGTCTTTTGAATTTTCAAATGCAATATAAATTTATAAAATGATTATATTAAATTAATTATAGAATTAAAAAAAAAAATACAACAAAATGTAATGTCAAAACAATATAGTGATAGGAGTGGATAAAAAAAATTAATGTATCCTTAATAATTAATTTAAAAATTAATTTTAATTAAAGGACATATATTAAATTTCCAAATACTTTAAAATTTATTATTAAAATTTATATATTAATAATATATTATTTTATCCGAGGGTATTGAGAACCTGTCATTTTTTTTTTCTCCAAGACTTGAAACCAACCTAAAAGTCTTGAGCGAGTTTACACCAAGACAATCTATGCATCCACTCAAAACCAAACAAAACTCTCTCGATTTCAAAGTAACTCGTCCTGGCTGCCCAATAAAGACGCAAAGAGGAAGCAGCGCGAGCGACGGCAGTAGAGTATATCATTCACTGCTGCCAAAAAATAGAGATTAAACTTTGAAACTATCTCCTGTTGATTAATTCACGATCTATATCTAAATTCAACTTTAGGGTTTCAATTCGAAATCGAACTCTTCCTCTGAATGCTAAATCATCAACCGATAGATGTACTCCAGCAATTTGATTGGGTTCATATTGGCCGTTGTTTCCGGAGCTTTCATCGGCTCCAGTTTCATTATCAAGAAAAAAGGTCTCCAACGTGCCGGCCTTAACGGCACTCCAGCTAGTAAGTTACTTATTTACCCTCTTCTTTCTCGATGTTACCGTTATCTAACTAACTTTCCGTTACAGGTGTCGGAGGCTATGGTTATCTTCTTCAGCCACTTTGGTGGATCGGAATGATTACAAGTCAGTACATTAACAACTTTTTTCATCTTTCCATTTTCAATTTTCAGTTTCTTTTTCCTTTTTTTTTGTTTCTGATTTTTGTGTCCCTCTCTCATTGCAGTGATTGTCGGCGAGATTGCGAATTTTGTAGCATATATTTATGCCCCTGCCGTGCTTGTTACTCCGCTTGGTGCTTTGAGTATCATTGTCAGGTAAGCAATTTGTGCGTGTTTTGTTTTGACTGAATTGATTCAGACTTAAAGCAAGGGATATATGCTTTGATAAAATCTAATACTGCAATATCAAAATTGGATTCTGTATTTTGGACTCAATTATACTACTAGAGTGTGGGTTTTGCAAAATCATGGTGGCTCACAGTGATTTTAACGAATCCACCTTGATAACAAACATGTGCTGTCCACATTTGAAACCAAACGTACACTTAAGATTCTTCTTGTTTAGTTTCCCCTTTGTTTATTAAGCTTTGAATTTAAACTCAACCGACTTATTTGTGGAAATGGCTAGTGTAGTGCTGTGTTGGCTCATTTCATGTTGGGTGAGAAGTTACAGAAAATGGGCATGCTTGGGTGTCTTCTATGCATTGTTGGATCCACTGAGATCGTGCTCCATGCACCCCAAGAAAGGTCTCTTAGTTCTGTGCTGGAGATATGGCTTTTGGCTGTTCAACCAGGTATCCTTGCTGTTGAAGCTATTTGCTGTTTTTCGTTTTAATTTTTTATTGATTTTTTTTTAAACCGCATTATGATATTTCTGTTTGGTTGTTTTGGTTCCCAGCTTTTCTCTTGTACATAGCCTCGGCAATGGCTCTGTCATTCTTTTTGATTTTTTACTGCGCACCTCGCTATGGCCAAACCAATATCTTTGTTTATATTGGAATATGCTCCATAATTGGATCATTGACTGTAAGTGATTATTCCTATCCAATTCATGTTGTACATTCTAACGGTTGACAAAATTCGTTAGTGGAGTTGATCTTTTCATTTACGCTTCTAAACTGACCAAATATCTTCTCTCTCTCTCTCTCAGGTCATGAGTGTAAAAGCGATTGGCATTGCCATTAAACTTACATTAGATGGTTCAAATCAATTTGTCTACTTTCAAACATGGATTTTTATAGTGGTCGGCGTTTCCTGCATCATTACTAATTTAAATTACCTTAATATGGTAAGTATCACTCTTAGCATTTTTATGTGACTATTTTTCAACATGGTTAGTTTTCAATTATATGTATCATCTGCATTTCTTTAGTATAAGAAGCATTTTTGTTAAAAGGAGATGATGATTCATAATCTTATATGGTTCGTGGCCGCTTGTCTAGCTACTGCCTTTGTATCATCAGCATGAGTTAATGAAGTTTTCATCGAAATTAAATTGCATGTGAATTTGAGCAACTTTTTTCTTGGATATGAGCTAATTTTTAAGTTCAAGATGTAACCTTTACACCAAATAACATCCATGTAAATCTGGACTCAGTTGATTTTTTCATGTTGTTCTGTTGTCATAACTGGCTTGTTAATTGTCCGTTATATGGGTTTCTATGGTGATAAACTCATGCATGGTTGGCATTGCAGGCATTGGATACTTTCAACACAACGGTCGTTTCTCCAATCTATTATGCATTGTTCACTTCTTTTACAATATTAGCCAGCGCAATCATGTTTAAGGTTGGTATTTTATTTTATTGGAACAAAGTGAAAAATGCATCTTAGAAATCATCTTTTAGATAAATTGCTCAACTATCTGCTACTTTTCTGTCTTCTCTACTCGTCTCATTTAGGACTATTCGGGACAAAGTATAAGCAGTATTGCATCGGAGCTATGTGGTTTCATCACTGTTTTATCTGGAACAACTGTATTGCACTGCACTAGACTACCGGATCCTCCAGTTAGTACAGGTAAAGATCTAATTCACTTTAGTGAGGTTCCCTAGTCCTCATAATTATGAGTGCCTTTTTATTTAATTGCAACCGGAAACTTAACCAGTATTGAGTAGCCTGACCTTACTGCAGTATGATTACGCCAACGGCTAAATTTAATACGAATTTTCAATAATCTGAGATGCTTACTTTTTCTTGTTCATTCCTTGCCCAATTTTAATATGAATAGCCACATGATAGAGACCGGAGCACGAGTGATGGGCAAAAAGGGATATTATGCAATAAGTAGTGCGGTGAGGATATATGGTAAATAAAGAGCGGACTAGGATGCTTAGTTGGCAGATTTGTTATGCTCTAGTAGCATATGTAGTGAGGTAAGTGAATTGTAGTGGTCATGCAAGATTATCAAGTGAACTGTTATAGTTAGGCAGAGAGAGTTTTCTCCTTCTCTGAGGAGCTTGGCTCTGGTTAGATTGGGATTCATTGTGTTCTACAGATTTCTTCTCTTTATCGATTAAATACATACTATTTTCCATTGTTTTATCTCATTCTTTACTAAATTCCTAATTCTGAATTTTGGGTTTCATCCCCACGCAATGAAGTTGAAGGAAGTCTTGGTGCCACAGTTGGAGTTGCGAGATAAGGTTGCCTATAATAGGCCTGACCTTTCCTAAACCGCGCCATGACAGAGCCTTGTAGCATTAAGCTGTCATTTTGTTTTTCCGAATACAGCACTGACATAAAAAAGGCAAATTTAATGGGAAAAATGATGGAAATAATTATATCATAGATGTACAAAAATTGTAGATAACCCAGATGTTGGCAATTGGTGAGAAATTATATCAGTGTTCTTACTCATTTAGGCTTTAGCCATTTAAGAACGGAACTTTTTTTCATTTCAGTAATACAACTTCCCCGTGAGACTACCATGAACAAAGCACCAAAGACAAACCAAACTACTGGTCTTATAACAAAGTGAGGAAAAGAAATAGGAACAACCGAATCACAAGTAAACTTTATTTCTGTCAAAACAATTAAAATCAATAACAAACTCTGTCATGAAATGACAAACTTCTCACTTTAGGAACATAAATTTTAAATTTTGGTGCGTCAGATCATGTAGTTGGTAATCCCTCTCTTATTTCTAACTTGTCAGCTCCTACAGTACCCCACAATATACTGGTATTGGTTAAGCTTCACCTCAGCCACCTCCATCTTTGAACGATATATTTTTTGTACTACTGGTTGTCGTGTTGTTAAATTTCAATATATGAACTTATCCGCTCTCTCAATTGTGCCAAATAACAGGACCTATATCATCATCCATCCACCATCTGTGGTGTTTTTACATCTTAACCTTAGCTCTCCTTGTGACAATCATTGGAATGTAGTTTGATTCTCAAGTATATCAAAAGAGCACTAGGAAAAAGACTTGTTCTCACTAAATAGAGGCCACACTGAGATTGTTGGGTATTCAGATACTGGTTGGGCAAGAGATGCGAGTGATAGACTGTATAAGTATGCTTATTGCATTTTTTGGGTGAAAATATGGTTTCATGGAAGAGCGATAAACAGCTTGTTGTTGCTCGGTCAAGTACAAAAGCAGAGTATCGAGCTATCGAGTTATGACTCATGCTATATGTGAGCTTCTGTGTTTGCAAGACTTACATTTTACATTTTTGTGAGGTTGGTCAAATAGATTTTGTATATGATAATCAATATTTAGCTTTACACCTCTCCTCCAATCCAACTTTTCAAGAGAGGACAAAGCATTTAGAAATAAACTATCATTTCATCAGAGAAAAGATTCTCTCTAGAGTTATTAAAACTTCTTTTGTCAATTTTAAGAATCAACTTGCCGATATATTTATTAAATTTTCGGATAACTTACATATGTGACGAGATGCATATGATATATATGCTCCACCTTGAGGGGGAGTGTTGAGATATTGAAATGTATTATAGAACAATTTGTTAGTATTTTTTGAAATTATGACAGGATCATCTTTCTATTTAGATTATATATCTCATGTATATAAATAGTGTTTCAATGAAAATATTAACAAGTTTATATATAAAGAAGAAATAATAACGAGTTCCTTTCAGGAATCATTTATTGATTCTTAAACTGATTCAATTTTCTAAATTTGATATCATGAATTTTGACATTGATATTGTAACTTGTTTACTATTTTCTAGTTTTGTTTGAGTTGAGAGAGGCTAATGCTGTTTCCAACAATGCGCATATAACCCTAATCTTTCATCATCAGTGCAGATGTGTACAGTCCCCTGTCTCCAAAAGTATCATGGTATTTCCAACCAGGAAACGGCGAACCCTGGAAACAGAAAGAAGAAGATGGACCGCCCCTTAATTTAATTACGATTACCCAGCAAGACCATTTCAAGTGATACTGAATTCTTAAACTGGTAGAACAATAAATTAGATCCATCCATTGAGTTAGACAGCGCCATCTTTTTCTTTGTCAGTGCTCATCGGCTCAGTTACGCCGTGAAACAGAAATGTGGCTGGCTTTTGTACATTAAGCAAAAGGAATGGATTCAAAAGAATCTATCACATTGTGCAGCAAAGCAGAGATACTGTTTTTTTTCATGTGATTTTATTCATTGCAAGCTTAGTTTCTATCAATCTGAAACTGACGAGGTGGTGTGTATTCCAATTTGTTGTATTGTTAGTAGTTGTAATTCTTTGTTATTATTTCTTTTGTTGTACATTAATTTTTGTGAGTTTATTTAAACAAAGATTGCTTATTTGTATACGTTGGTCAGTGTAATTTTAAATTGTTATTAACTGCTGTGGCGTAAGGTTTTAAAACAAAGCTTTTTGGGTTGTAATTGTTTATGGTGAGATAATATGATAGAAGTTTTTTGATCTGGATATTTAACTGCAATTATAACTGCTGTATGCAATGTAACTCAAATATATCAAATGATTCGAATATATTAATTGACGAATAAGGAAGTGTTTTTAATTTAAGTTACGCGAATCTCAAAAGTAAAAAAAAAAAAAAACTTGAAATTATACTCTTAAGAGTAAAGCGGTCTGTTCACTTTTAATCAACAACACCAAATTATATCTTTAAAAACCTATTCTATTTTTTATTTATGGAGTCTTTTATGCTTTTTAAGAAAACTATAGAGGTGTTCAAATATACAATTTTTAAAAATATTTTTAAATTTGTTTTCTTATACAAAATTAAGTTTTTAATGTGTAAAATTATCAAAAATTTAGTAACTAGTGTACAGGAGTTTATGTATAGGCTATTTTTACAATTAATAAGAAACTTATGAAAAACATTCCATGAGTTGAAACCAACTTACTATAAAAAGAAGCTTAAACCAACACATAGAAATGATTTTGGTCAAGGATAAGTTTCTTTATGTTATAGATTTTTATGAGAAATTTGTATTCATCAATGTGGCTGTAGTTTAGTGGTAAGAATTCCACGTTGTGGCCGTGGAGACCTGGGCTCGAATCCCAGCAGCCACAAAAATTGTTTTGTTATTATTTCATTTTATTCTGAAGCACCAAAACGGATTAGAGATACCATAAAATTTGTTCTTAAAAAGATACTCTACTTAATTTAAAAGAGATAGTACACACTAATATGCTGTGATATTGGTATCATCATTACAAACTAATTATCTCAAGAATAATACTATATAGGAACAATCATTTGAATAAAAAAATCAAAAATATATGTGTCATCCTTTTAAAGGATAATTTTAAATATAATTTCTTTTTTAATAGAAATTATGGAGTAGTGATGATAATGAATAGTTGAGATTTAATTCTTTTCTTTCTTACTTCCATATTTTCTTACAAATAAATATTTTTCTTATCTCAAAATTATAACATATAAGTCTAAGACACTTGTTCATGTTAAAGTGTTAAACTATGATACTAAGCTTGGCAAGAAGTTAAACCAAACACTAGAGACATATATTGTTAGAACTTTTGTGTTGGGATCTGTTGTAAAATATGGATAAGAAGATGAAAACGGTATAACGAAAGTTGTACAAAATAAATTTTAAAGTGTGTGTTTATGTTAAGTTTTAGGTTCGATTCGTCCCTATCAATTTAGACAAATTGGATGCAAATGGGTTAACCAACGAATCCCCTTCAAGATACTTTAGAAACCTTAACATGAACAACATTTACCGAATAAAGTTCTCCTATTTATTCTCGTGCACTAAAAAAAAATAAAAGAATGATTTAAATATTATTTTTGACACTTGAAATATGTATTTTTCATACAACTTTTCAGATTGCACAATATTCCTATATATATATAGAAAAATTCATGCCATTTGGTAAAAGGGCATATTTGGAATCATTGGTTGTTTGCAATAGATAACTACGTTTCCGTTCAAATTTACTACCAAACAATGCCTTGGTCCAGCGGTTGACTCATCTTTTCAGGCGTGTCCTTTGACCGAAATGACACTGGTTTGAGTTTAGGCTAATGCAACTCGTGGCTCTAATTTTTTACATTTGTTTTAACAGTAACAAATAGTTTCCAAAAATTGCCACACCCAAGATTTAAACCTGAGACCTTCAAGTATTTATAACAATAACAACCACTACACTAAGATAACCATTTTTTTATTAAAAAGTTTCATGAAATGAATTTGATCATTTCCACTTATCATATTTTGGAAATTCTCCAACAATCTCCGACCATTTTTAAAATATATCTAAATCGATTATTCAGAAAATTTTATGGTTTCAGATAAAAGTATCTTACGATTTGAACCATACTTAGTAAGTTAAGTTTTCACTCATCCTTGAATAGATTGGTAGACAAACTTTGAACCAATTATTCATTAGAACAAGCGTGCATAACTCACACATGAAATATCGGTATCGTTGATCGAATTATTAATATGACACATTTAATAAGACATTGCGTCCTATATCCTTTTCATGAGAACTTAAGAGCCAAGCCCTTGAACTCTATGAAGCGACACCACATCATTGTCGTATAGGTGGACTATATCATAAATGCACCCGTAATTATGCATTTCAGCAAACACATGCTTTATATCTATTAAGAGGAAAACCTCATCCTACCATATTTATTCTTATGGTCCAAGTACTTTTATCTTTGGGATGTATTTAATATCAAGTACTTCAATCACTTTAATAGTGTACTTTCATCATTGAACTTAAGACATAATATTAATCAAGTGTGAGTTGAGTTTCCACCATTGATAATTAATTAGATATGAGCTTGTTCCACATCTCTTAACAACGCCTTCATTGTATTCAGTTATATTCCAAAAGACATCATATCCTTGTCAATCCTTTCGTCAAAGAATCGCAAGAGCTACACAACATCCTATGGACATACCGAATAACACCACACTCGATAACCGGTTAGACCCCATTTCGGCTAACATATGGCACCGAAGCAATTATCCTCGTAGAAATTATGGAGCCATCCAAGCGAGCTGAAGTCCCTCTAGACGAGGAACTAAACGACGAGGCCCTGAGAGAAGAGCTCGACCTAGTCGAGGAAATCCGATCAAGAGCAGCTCTTTGCGAAGCCACACTGAAACAACAGATATCCCTTCGCAATGACAGCAAAGTCATAAAGCGCGAATTCTAGGTCGACAACTTAGTCTTGTGTAGAAATAAAAAAGATTCCCGTGAAGGGAAGCTGACCGCAAACTGGGAAAGACCATACCGCGTCCACGAGGCTACGGGCACCGGGGCATACTACCTCGAACAACTAAATGGAGAATCGCTACCTCGACCATAGAACACCACAAAGTTGAAACAATATTACAGCTAAGCCCCTATCGAACGACTGACATTAGTAGTCAACTGGTCCTCTCAGACATACGATAGGACGCGCTCGACCACAGAGACATCTCAAGATACAAACATAGCCTCCACACATTAATGAAAGCGGGTTTTGTTGTTCATTTCTTGAGAAGAACCTTAGCCAGACAGAGACACCTCGATCAATCTCTGCTGTCGAAGTACCCAACAGACAGAAAACCCAACTCACGATGGGCAGTTCACGCCACAAAGTTAAGATCCTGACCGCGATCTCGAGTTCGTCCCACAGATTCCTACACCGCCTCCCTGACACATACCAACATGTGTCAACCACAACCAAGGTCGAGCAAAAATCTTCACTCGTGAAAACACCAACTTTCATGAAATAAACAAGTCAAGCACAACGACAAGCAAGTATTTAACAAATATCAAAAAAGGCATAAAGGAAAAAAAAGCATTTATAAATGCCGACCACGAAGGCCGGTGCTGTTTAAATAATTACAAAATGTATAGGCACGCAAGCCACAAATTCAAACTAAAACAAAAGCGGGCACACATGCCCGAAAACATATCAGATCTCATCCTCCCTGTCACTATCCTCCACGGGACTATCATCGGGGGATAAAATATTTTTAACCACCTGATTAAACGGCCTCGCACCTTCAACCACTAACTCGACCCCCGGGTTCAATATCTTGAGCTGCTCCGTGGCTGTGTTAGCCATAACCGTGGGTATCCACGACATCTTGCTCGAGCACACAGATGTATACGATTAGATCTCCCCTGGTTGTGATGGCTTTCTCTGTGTCAGTCTCTTTGTCAGTCAGTGCCACGATCCCCTCCAACTATTTTATTCTGGCGACCAACCACTCGTTCTCTTGATTCGCAACATCCAGTTGAGGCCGCAGCTCGTTCAGATCCTTGAGGAGTTGAACCTGAGCCTCATACTTCGTTTCATGGTTGAGGATGTCGCCCTTCAGCTTTTCATTTATGTCCTGCAACTTTTGAATCCGGGCGCGCGCTTTGTCGAGGGCGGCCTGAGAGCTCGTGTCCTCATCATTCAGCGTCAAAGCTGTTTCAAGCACCCTCATCACGGCGGCCACATCGTCCAACAAGTTTTTCCATCGAGTTTCCTTGTCTTCGGACAAGATCGCTTCCCTTTCTTCCTCGTGAAGACCTAGAGAGCTCTCCCCACTAAAAATGTCACGATTAAGATAACATAGAGGCAACATAAAAATTGCCCCAGCCCCCTTATCACTTTCGATCACAACTCACTCGGGATCCTCCACATGTAACGCCCGTTTATTTAATTAATTATTTAATTAAATAATTTCTGCATTCTTTGTTGAAGTTGTGAGGTGTTGTGAATTGTTGGCTAATTGCTAGATTATTATTAATTAATTAATTAGTTGATTAATAATTATAATAATGTTGGAATTAATAGTATTAGTTGTTGGGCTTGTTTTGGTGATAGATGTAGTATTAAGAGGGTGTGAGAATTAGAACCAATGGAAATAATAATATTATTGAGTTTAGTTATAATAATAGAAAAATAGGTTTTTGTCAAGAAGGAGAGGAATACAGGTTGAAAGAGAGAAAGAGA